AATACATAAACATGGAATTCATAAACATAAGATTTTTTACATGGAAAATATTGAAAAAGGCAAAAATTACGGGGTCACGCCCAGTTGAAATAATTTTCTTAGTAATTGAATATATTACAAGTGACTGATTCGTCTTTGAAATTAAAGATGATTAGATTACAAGTCAACTGTTGGGTTGAAATCTAGTGCGAATAGAGATCGCGAATGGAAATCCAACAATGTTTGGTGGTCGGGTGGAAATCTTGCGTCAATTGGTGGTTGGGCGGAAATCCGGGATCAGTCGCTAGCCGAGGAAAAGTTCGGCGTTAGTCGGTGGCCGGACAGAAGTCTGGCGTTAGTTAGTGGCCGGACGAAAGTCTTTAAGGTTTAGGGTGGACGAAAATCCGACGACGTTTCATGATCGGGTGGAAATCATGCGTAAGTTGGCGGTCGGGCATAATTCTGGTGTTAGTCAGTGGCCGAGGAAATGTCCGGCATCAATTGGTGCTCGGGCAAAAGTCCGCCGTTAGTCGGTGCCCAGGCAGGCGTCGGTTGTTGGCCAAGCAGAAGTCTGGAGTTAGTCTGTGGTCGGGCGAAAGTTTTGCGTTTGTCGGTGACCGGGTGAAAGTCCGGCGTCAATCGGTGACCGGGCGAAAGTCCGACGCAGCCAGAGACCAAGCGGAAGTCTGACATTAGTCAGTGGCCGGGCGGAAGTCCGATGTCAATCAGTTGCTGGGTGAAAGTTTGGCGGTGAACTCTAGTTTCTCTCTCTCTCTTTATCTCTCTCCCTCTCTCTTCCTTCTCTTCTTTGTTTGAGTCCCCTTCCAAGAAAAACGAGGGGTCTATTTATAATTTTATGAGAGTGGCATGGTCAGTAAATAGGAGAGTGATCAATGATAAGTTGGGAGTGATTTGAATGGAAGGCTGATATTTATCCACTTGATTGTTGACCGTTTATTAGGCATTTGAATGTCTTAATGATATCATAATTTGACAATCTTGAGCTCGTTGGATTGGTTTTATCGAGCCGCCTGATTCAAATGTTAGCATGGGTGTCAATTCGGGTCAACCCGCCGGGTTCGGGTCGAACCCGACCCGACCCGACCCGTATCTAAACGGGTCAACCTGATCCAATTAATAGTTTGGGCTTTCCAAATGCCTTCAGGTTTTTTATTTGAACTCATTTGGACTCAAATTGAGTTAAATTTGGTGTCCTTGGGTTCCTATTTTTGAGACGTTCAATTCGACTATAAGTTTGCTGAAATCACAGTTTGGATGGTCCCAAATTTAATTTTGGAAGTTTCCAACTTGATTTTGCCTCGAGATTTGTGTCCGATCAAGATAATTTTTTGATGATATATCAAAAAGTATAATGATACATGATATAGTTATATTTGGATAAATTTAAAATTAATGACAGTTTAACATTTACATTTATAATATCATCATATTAAATTTTATCTTAAGAATCGTGACATATTTAATTTGCATATTGATGGCACTGATTATTATTGCTATATTATCACTCTTATCTTTTCAGATGTTCATGTTGTATGTCTTATTCATTTTTTTTTTTATTTTTTATATTTTTTATAGGTAGGAGCTGCTTGATATATTTGATTTATCAAAATCACTTATTGAACAATTTTACCATGGCAAGTTTTATAGGAGTGCCTGGTTGACTATCATCATAGGAGCATATTTATCAGCAATATGATCTCATATAGTATTTTAAGCTTTAGTAGGCTATTTGTATTTCCTACTTAGTATAGGTAGATTTATTTGTGTAGTTATTTCTTGATGTTTTCTTTTCATTTACTATTGTTCTCCTTCATTGAAGTATTCTTATTTTAATTTATAGTAATAAAATAGAATCTTAATTTCTCTTTCATTTATATTATTTGTATATGAACTCTCTATTTACAAGTGCAAAATAAGTTTTCATACCCCTTCCTTAAATCCCGTATATTTTTGTGACGTAATAATTTGCCAACCAAATACACTGGGACCCGGTGTATTTTGGTGACGTGGCGCGTCTGGATTGGTGTTCGGACGAATCCGGACACCGGACGTAATAATTTGCCCATTTCTAGAAGATCCTGCACTACTAAAGGTGTTGCTACCTCAACTCCTGGTATTATTGCACTCATCATAATGATGATTGATATGATTGCTCAGCTCGCTCAAGTTTCATAAGTACTTAGCAAGCAACTCAGCCAATACCATAACCAACTTAGCTATTGCCAAGTTCAAGTAATACAACAAGAAATTGTATGGAGATCAACACTACAAGCAAAATGATAAAGGATATAAAAGAACATATTATCTTCAATCTCTATAATAATTATAATAATTTATAACACCTCAGTCATACCAATATTGTCTTACTTTATAGTATTAATAGTAATAACTTTCAATGGCATATTAGCAATAACAACAAATGATATAGTATCCAACACTCTAGCTTCAAGTTCAAGAGAAGCCTAGATAAGAAATTTTATCCTATGTATTCATATTGACATAACAAGAGGCTCATGAAGGCCTTGATATGGTGACAACTATTATTTTTATTTTAAGTAACTGACAAGGATATTATTTAGCTTTTAGACATCACATTCATTCATAGCTGATAAATATATATCGAATGCATTAGTATCATAATTTCAAGCACATTTATCAATTATTATATCATATAATTTATCTATGACAGTTACTTAGTGTATTCATAATTGTGATATCATTATCGATAATATGCATATGTCGGCAACACTCATTATTTTTTTAGTAGCTAAGTTTCATTTAATATTTGATAGGAATTGATTGTCTCCTTGTCATGCCATAATATATTGTTAGAATAGAAGAATGAACTTCTATATACTTAGTGTGATAGCTCTTAGTTTTAATGGTATTAGAGGAGCATTATCTTATTTTGCATCGATAATCAAAACCCATGAGATAATCTTTCATTATTATGTTTGTTATCATGATCACATAGTGGATACCGGCGAGCTTAGTGTCAATTTAGACAACATTTCAATAATTCAAGAATTTAATAAGTATTTTCTTATAAGTTGCTTAGCTTATCAACTAATCATAAGATCAAGTTTATCATAATTTAATTTTTAATATCACTCCAATTTACAAGGCACCATATCATATGGAAAGCATTAAACTTAAAGAGCTAAAGGTGTAATTATAAGAAATTCTTAACCAAATTTAGACCCAATATTTCACTATGGGAGCACCAATTTTGTACTTAAGAAAAAAAAAAGTATCCATTAGCTTGTGCCTCGACTACAAAGAACTATGAAAATATGAATATTTATTCTAGATGATATGTTTGACCAATTACAAGGCTCTTCTATATTTTTCAATAGTTACATTTATTCTAGGTACCATCATTTGAAGATCACAAAGGAAGATATGTTTAAAATTGTTTTTCAATTCCAATATGGTCATTATGAATTTTTAACCGAGCTTACCAGCTTTACTAATATTAATCATGCTTATCATCTTTACAAATATCCCTGCTGTATTTATAGATATGAAAAAAAAGAGTGTTATAATCTTGCTTATATCATTTTATAATAATATCCATGTATTGTTATTTCTACTTGTTGATGTGCTCTCACTACATGAAAATTGCAAATTACTAGCAGTAGTTTCCAACTATATTGATATATTTTTTGGCAGTTTGTAAATTTTTCGACGAATTTCCTGTATTGTCGCATTTGATTTATAGTAATGAAATATAAATTTTAATTCTTTTTTGTTGTTTATTCTAATATATTAGTTTATAATTCTTATATATGATTTTTTTTTTTTTTGTGAATACAAAACATATTTTCATGTTCTTTACATCATGTGTTGCTAGACTATATAACATTTGCTTGCATAGGGCCAGGGTGTCACAACAATCAACAATGTGCTCCTCTCCCTCTACTCATATATTCATCAAAAAAATAAATTATTATTCTTAGGATTAATTTTTTTTTAATTTAATGCACATAGTTAGTCAATGAAATGATTAACCTTGTTAGAACTTATTTTCACATCCTATATTTTTTTTGGTGAAATATTTACTTTTTGATGAAAATTTCATTTAATTTAATTTTTATTATGAAGATGATTAGAAGTCTACCACAAAATATTAAAACAAAAATACTTATATTGATTAAAAAAAGAAGACATTAATCTTACACCATTAAAGCTTAATATCAAATATTTAGTATAACAATATTCTAACATTATTCTTTTCATTTAAATACAAAGATTATGAATATAAGATGAAAAATTTTCATCTTAGAGAGAGAAAGAGAGAGAGAGAGAGAGAGAGAGAGAGAGAGAGAGAGAGAGAGAGAGAGAATATTTAGCTCTATATTAATTACAATAGCCGTTCCTTCACTAGGCCTAATCCTTCTTTATTCCATTCAAAGTTTCAAAGTTTTAAACTACACTGACCTCAACGGTAAAGCCTTCCGGGCCCGCATTCGAGTTCGAAATTTAAAAGAGCTAGCGGTACGCTCACCGCCCAAAAATTCCACCCCGTCGCTCATTTCTGCGTTTCAATTCAAAGTTCGCATGCGGACAAAAAATTAAGCGCACGTGCCACTCCGCTCCGCTCCGCAGTGCTGATGTGGCATCACCCACTGATGGACGGCCATGATCGTCTAGCAATTCAAATCTCTTCGTTCCCTCTCCGCTCAATGTTTTTATATAGATCTTTCTTGTTTCTTTCTTCTCCTTCCTCTTCGGTCTTCTTGCTGGAGAGATCGAGAGCGAGAAGAGTGAGTGAAGGAGGGATAGTGAGGAAGTGAAGGGGGCTGCGGAATCCGTTCTTTCTGTGATCCCATTTGAACTCTCTGTCTCTTCTCTCCGGAGATCTAGTAGAGTTTTGGTTAGGGTTTTGCTCTGCCCGCTCCTCCTTGGTATTCTTGCTTGTTCTTGGTAGCTAGAACGGCCGAGAGGGGAGCGAGAGAGATTGAGGACTTCGGCAAGGTTTTGATTTTCGTGATTTGGATATGTCGGGAGTGAATCGACGCTCCTCGATTTCGTCATCGGCGTCGTCTTCGTCTCTAGCGAAGCGGCCGGCGGTGGAGAATGTGGCTAAGGTCTCTGTTTCTGCGCCTGAGCAGGCCAAGAAAAGGGTGGCGCTCGGTAATTTGACTAATCAGTGCAATGCGGTGAGGAGTGGTTCTCGGCTACCAGCAACAAACGTTTTCAATGTGGGTGAAGTTCGAATCAGCTTAATGAACTTTTTGCTACTTTGAATCTTTTTTAGATAAAGTAAACTGTTTTTGCTTTGATGATGGCATTCTTGCTCTTCATTTTTTGCTTTGGAAGAAATGTGTTCGGAGGTTTTATGGTTGCATCTTGTGTTGGAGTTATATAGTTAATGTATTTCTGCGGGTGATTGATAGCTGAAATGCGTGACAGAAACAGAGCTTTTTATGTTAGACGTTATCTGTGCCTGTGTTTTGATTTCAATGACATCTATTTTTATGAGCTAAAATAGAAAACGGTATTCAAGAATCTCCTGAACTTTCTGTTACAGGTAATATTTTTATCTTTTCAGCTTCTAAAATCTTTCAGTAATCCACCGTTATTTTTCTAAAAGTGTCCCACCTCTGTTCTTTGTAGCGAGAATTCTTGAGATCTTGATTGAATAGGAATTATACTAATATGACTTTGAAATGATTTGGATTTTGAATTTAGTGAAGCACATACATCAGATCCCAATTTAAAAGATCTCCTTCAGACAGTTGTGGGTCCACATCAGTATATTTATTTGTTTTAAGATGTTATTGTGACGGCAATATTTCTGAAAAAAGATGAACTTATACCAGGTGTTAAAAGTAGGTTCAAATAGACATATCAATGCATTAACGGTCTTTTTTCGGTTTGCAAATATTTTGAATTGTTTTGTTCAGTTTTGTAAACGTGTATGTCATCGTTTTTCTTGTTATTTCATGTAATATCTTACCAACATGATCATTTCTGTTCCTGCTTGGTTTAATATTTGGAAATTTTTATGGAGTACGAATCAAAGGTGGGACCATTTGGTATTTTAATATCAACACATTTTAAAATTATCCATTATGTGACTATCAAATAATCTCACATGCCTTAACATTCTTCCCCTTAAACAATAGCTTTCTCTATCGGCCATCACTCCCCTTCAAACAAAAGCTCATCATCAAGAGACCTGTGGAGATGCCTTGCAGGTCGCTTGCTTATTAGTCTTGCTTAACCTAGGTGCCATAAGCCACATGGCTACTTTTTCTCAATTGAAACATTTGCTTATGTACCACTTATTTAGGTAGTGAGGACTAAATAGGATCCAAAGTTGGGAAAGGAAAATTAAAAGTGAAAAACTTTTTTTTTGAGCCACAATGTTAAATCTAAAAGTGAGATAATTCTTTGAATTTTAACATCAAAATAATTTTCAATTATCCAATGTGGACTAAACTATATATTTTAATGAGCCTTTCTACTTTTCATTATTTTTAAGTTTGAAGTATATTTTCCTGATTTTGTTTCCTGGTTTTAGCTTGAATCAGTTTTATTCTTGTGAGTGGTGTTACTATGACCTATTTCCTGGTTTTAGCCAAACATGTGTATGACATCATTTGGTCTCTCTAGCCGAACGTCAAACCTTCCACTATTTTCAATTGTTCACCCTCTATATGTTTTTTTTTTAATTGAAAAATTGGTTATTAATTTTAAAATTTTAAGTATAAGAAAAAATATGCTAGGAATATTCTTTTTTTGATGTTAGAAAATGGGATTCGGTTGGTGCATATTGATGTATTACTATATTTTGGAGTGAAAAATGAGTTTTTCTATTGGAGATGCCCTAAGTGAAGCGTTGCACTCAGCTAATTTGAATTGAAGGAAGAGGATTATAAGTACTGTTGAGTATCTGCTCAAATTCCATGAATATACATTTTGTCTATAACCTTTTAATAGAATCTAATGGTGCCGCTCCTCATTAAGCTGTCAATCACTTTGCATTGAAGTTTATTAGTTTTGTGAAAACTGAAACCTAAAAGGAACGTCTTTGCTGTCCGGGGAACATAAATACCCCACGAAAAGAAGCATTTTTCACTTGTCAGCTAGAAAATGATAGTCAAAATCTGCTTTTGTCCTTGTTTAAAGAATCTCATATTCAGGCTCTCTACACCTTTTGTTTGAATTGTTCAATTTAAGTGTCTCGTTGATTTTTGGCAGTACACTAGATAAAAAATTGCTTCCGCAAACTTCAGATGAATTTAGCAGCATTAACAGCACTAAATTATTATTATTTTTAACTCTTTTCTCTTCTACATTAATAAAGTAGATTTTTTTGCCAATTCAGAAGGTCACTACTACCAGTTCAGCATCAAAAGTGCGAAAGGGATCTGCTTTTGTTAGCAGTTCAAAACAAAATTTTCAACGTGAATCTGCAAAGTTTCCATCTCTTGCTAAATCAGCTGCTAATGTATCAAGGATAACTACTACACCTTCAACTCGAGTTGGACTAACTGCGCCTCTTGCCCCACTTCTTGTTCCCTGCTGCAATGTTAAATCCCCAATTCTCTCAGATGATTCCGAATCAATGGATGAGACCATGTCAACTTCTGATTCTCTGAAGAGTCCTGATTTTGAATATATTGACCACGGTGATTCCTCAATTGTGGCGTCATTGGAGAGACAAGCCACGTATAACCTCCACATTTCAGATAATGTTGATTCAAATGGTATGTTTTTCATCAGCCTCTATGATAGTTTATTTGCCAGTACAATGCCTTGTCTTCAGCTTAACATATTTGAAAAGACCCTATCATAAATTATTTTCACTATCAATATCTAGTAAAGTGTTCTTAAAATATTTACCAGGAAATTCTTGGAAGAGAGATATTCCTGTTGCAGTAGATGCGGCTGTCAATATTGCAAATGTTGATGACAATCCGGAAGATCCCCAGTTGTGTGCATCACTTGCTTGTGATGTTTACGAGCATTTACGCTTAGCTGAGGTAGTTGATTTTTGCAGTTTAATATATCATATGGGGTAATTTGTTAGTAACCACCTGGCCATCTTTTAGATTTTGAAATTCTTTTCCTGTTCAGAGTTTGTTTAATTGCTGATTTTTTTATTTAACAAGTTCCAGTACTCACCAATAGCCATAGTTATTCCACCAACTCACTATATGCACACACAAAGAAAGTTAGATCACCGAGGTGTGCCCACAGGTGTGTTTGAGCAGGTTTGGGTTGTGTGGACCCGGGTAGGTTTGGTAATAAGGATATCCTGAGAAAAGAGTTTGCTGCTAGTACCTTTGAGGTTGCACTTCATTCTTTATGGTAAAGCTGATTGGTGTTTTGCCCAAGTTGGTGAGATGAAGAGCTCATTAAGGCTTCGTTTGTGATAGATTTTTTGTTATTTCTTAAAACATCTTTTTAGTTTAAAAATTAAAATTTTTATACTGAAAAACTTCTTTAAGAAGCAGTAAGAAAGCCGTCTCAAACGAAGTCTAAGTTACCTGAATGCATGGAGCTAGCAGTGCTCATTTGTTTCAATTCTACATTCTTTAATTGAGAATTCAAGATGCTGAATATTGTTGGAAGGAAAGTTAAAGTTATAATAGAAAATGCTTGATGTTTAGGGAAAATAGGACACTACCGTATCGGTAGGACATGACTTAATTTGCTTACTGGAATAACAAACTTAGAATCTGACACTTTTATTTGTTATCATTGTAACTTTTGATGATTTGTACCTCAGATGATTATTGTATATTTATGCTTTATTTGACTACTGCTAGTCCATTAATTGAGGTGCTTCTTATACAGAGTAAGAGAAGAGCTTCCACTGATTTCATGGATAGAGTTCAAAAGGACATTAACGCAAGCATGCGAGCTATTTTAATAGACTGGCTAGTAGAGGTATTGCCTGATTTGTATCTCTTTGGCTGCTGTTCCTTTTAGTGTTAATGCTTCTCTTTTTTTTTTGTTGGTATTGGAAATTCAGGTTGCAGAAGAATATCGGCTTGCACCTGATACATTGTATCTTACAATAAACTATATTGATCGGTATCTTTCTGGAAATGAGATTAATCGCCAACGCTTGCAGTTATTGGGAGTTGCTTGCATGTTTATTGCAGCGTATGTAGTCTGGTCTTTTGATTTCACACAGTCTTCGATTATTATTTTTCTTATGCATTTTTATGCATGATTTTCAGAAAATATGAAGAGATTTGTGCCCCACAAGTTGAAGAATTCTGTTACATAACAGACAATACATATTTCAAAGATGAAGTATGTTGTCAAAACCTCACTTAAAGCTTCTGCATTTCCTCTCATTATGATTTTCTCCTAATAAATATTGTTTGTTTAGGTCTTGCAAATGGAAGCTGCTGTTCTGAAGCACCTGAAGTTTGAAATGACAACCCCTACGGCCAAGTGTTTTTTGAGGTAAGCTAAACCTATCATCTAGCTCCCAGCGCTGTTGAAGACATAGCACTATAGCAGGGAAGTTATTAGGTGCGGACACACCGGATCTAGAGGATTTTTTGGATTACTGCGTACCCTATGCTTAAGCTCTGCGTATTTACCGTGTATTTATATTTAGTTGTGAGGATTTGCTGGTTATTTGTTGTGTATCTACAAATACGTAGAGTGTAAGCAGAGCCTACGCAGAGTGCAAGCAGAGCGTACGCAGTGCATTAATAATCCGAACGCATCTCTATGTCCGGTGTCCGCACCTAACAATTTCCCCTGATGGCAGGCAGTGTACTTATGATTTCTATCATGCTTGATCTTGACAGGAGATTTGTTCGGGTTGCTCAATGCTCTGATGAGGTAATAATGCTCGTTTTCCTGTACCAACTCAGCATTTCCCACAATCAGAGATTGATTTTCTCATAATTTGTTCCCTCAGGCACCTTCCCTTCACCTAGAATTCCTTGCTAGTTATGTTGCCGAGCTATCACTCCCAGAATACAACATGCTTTGCTATTCCCCATCTCAGATTGCTGCTGCCTCTGTCTTCCTCTCAAAGTTTATAATCCAACCAACAAAGAAGCCTTGGGTACTTAATTGATTCTGTTTTTTTCATGAAAACTTCCTTAGTTGGTCAAAACTATGTTATTATGAACTCAAATGCTTCAATGACGCTGCAGAATGCAACACTTGTACATTACACGCAGTACAAACCTTCTCAACTGTGCGACTGTGTGAAGTCCCTGCATCGTCTTTGTTGCAATAGTTCTAGCAATAATTTGCCTGCCATAAGGGAGAAGTACAGCCAACACAAGGTACATAGTAGCATTCTATGTTGTTCCAATTTTCTCCTTTTTATTACAAGTCGTTAAGTAATTTCACGCCATCTAAATACTACTACAGTACAAGTTCGTGGCCAAGAAGTACTGTCCGCCATTAATCCCGTCTGAGTTCTTTAATGATCCGAGTAGCTAAGCTGAAAGTTGGAGGATTAGATCTTGGATTGCCTAGTAAATGCAGCTAGAGTCTTTCAGGTGTTTTTAAGTGTATCTAAATTGTGCATGAAGTGCTTTGGTTTTACTGAGTGAGCGAGCTGTCCAGGCATTCTGAATGCAATTTTTTTACTATCATACAGATGGTTTTCTGATGATAATGTAATGTTGATCTTTCTGGCTGGGATGATTTGCAAGAGATCCCTCACCAGTTTTATAATTTCTTTGACTTGATTCTGATGATAATGTAAGATTTCCCCTCTTTTATTTCTGGAGAAATTGAGTTCATCTTTTTCAGCAGAGAATTCCTAGATGATATTACTGTGGTATTATTAGGTGAATTTGGCCAAAATAATTCGCTGTGATGAATGTAGATGCTTATTTCATTTTCTTGTTGAGATATTTAAAACATACTGCTTGATTTTTTTCTATGTATAAATTTAACAAAACCTTCATTTTGTTGCTTAAGATCTTTAGAATATATCGATAATTTTTTAATTTTGGTTAAAGCAACCTGTTCATGTAGAAGTTGTTGAGCATTTGATATGGAGCTTCTCCTTCTCCATGATTTAGTATTTTGAAGAAATTTAATCGCAAGATTCATGCACACCCTTAAATTTTCTTGCCTTTGAACTCAAAATTTTCTTGGCTTTTTTTTGTGCTTTCTAAAAGTTTTTGTACCAAAAAGTTATTGTAGAAAATAGTAAGAAAAATATCCCAAACTGTTCGGGGTGGGGAAGTAAAACACTGCTACGAAACAAATAAAAAGGTAAAACAACATATTTAAAAGAACAACAAGATTTAAAGTGGAAAAATCTAAAATCATGAAAAATCACTATGCAACATCAAACCAAGAAATTCATTATGAAAATATGGGATAATTAGAATAGATCACTCTTTTCTCACTCTCCTTGCTTTCCTTCTCTTTTACATTGTTTTTACACAAGAACAAACAAAGATATTTAATAGCAACCACCAATGGAAACCACTTTTAAGAAATATGAGAAAGAAAAATTGCCTAGCTGCCCTTGTAGCTCCGCAGAGTGTCAAGATGCTCGGTTATACATGCCTGAGGCGCTCTGCTACATAGTGCGTTGTCCGGGTGCTCGGGTACATTGCATCAAGGCATTGTACACCCAAAACCAAACAAGGGGAGACCCCCTACACCTCCAAACAAACACTACAAACTGAGTTAAATTCGAGACAACCGTACAACCCGATTAGTAGACAATTAAATTTCACAAGATTTGTGTATGTAGGACATGACACATGGAAAGGGATATAACTTTTACATGCCATGTAGCATAATTTTGGTAGACTAATTTTTATGTCTTGTCATGTTCTTCGTATAGAAGAAATATGCATACAACAGTGCATGATATTATCAAGTAATAATAAAAAGTAGGTCATTTTCTAAACACATAAATTTAAAGGAAGGTCTCTTTGCCTACCGTCGATTCGAACAATTGAACTAACCTAACCAACTTTCTTTTATATATATATATATATATATTCATTCCACAACACTTATATAATATGAACAATATAAACATATTTCATATAAGTTGAATAGCATATTATGATAAAACAAATAGCATTAATTAATATATATTCATAATAATTTATGTACTTATATGTATAAGAGTAAATAATAGAGTTTTTAGTACGAATAGTAGATAAAAGTTAGTATCCGTAAATATTTACCACTATCCTCAAGATGTAATATCATAGATTAGATAAGCAAGGAGCATGAGATAAAGTACACACCACAATAGATGTAGTAACACTTGTGGGTTAAAAGCCCCATGATTCCATTATTGTGTCAAATATGCTTGTTTGGTACAAAACAAATTACATATAACAAATCATCTTCCCTATGAATCTCAAGCTCACTAAAGTTGACACCCCTTTACCTTGCTTTTAAGATAATAATTTAAAGTGAGTTAATATTGGGTTAACACAAGACTTTCTACATAATGTAGTCCATGGATAGGACATTCTATGTCACAACCCAATATAAAAGGATTCCTTTCTTATTGAGCTGTGACATGCAAATTCTAATATCTAGTTTTAGAAATGTTTTAGATTTCTGCTTCTAATTTAAAATTTGAAGAATTTAAATAAACTATAGATCTACTAAAAATATCTAGAGTATTGAAAATAAAATCATCTACATGATGTGCTTCATTTCATCAAAATGTATCTACACTACAATACATTACTACAAACAGAAATTATAGAACTGAATAATAGACTAGTCATGATTCTACAAAATCAAAACAAAGAAATACCTATAAATTTAGATTAAATCTTGAAACTGCTAATCAACTAGCTCATTCCCTTTTCCAGATTCTGAAAACTATGAGCAAAATTAGAGTGGGCTCAAACAGCTCAGCAAGACAAACACTAATATAATTTTCTAAATTATTCTTTTTAAAATATTTCAAAATATTTAAAAGCAATTAAATGCAATATAATAATATGTGCGCTGAGTAAATTAAGAGCATAGTAGTGATTCAAATATTTAAGTAATAAAAATATTAAGCAGATAAATAAACTAAAATTTATATCACATAATAATTAAAATCAATTTTCTCTTTTCCCAAATCCAGATAGAATTTCAAAGAATTTGACCCTTTATGTCTCACTTTTGTGCTTATAGCACTAAAACATATGTTGACCCATACAACTACAAAAAAAAAAAATCATAAATTTGATAAGGATGATTCAGCTCGAATGTGAATTGCATTATGATCTGTGTTTGCTATGCAGTGGTTGAGAAAGCAATCAAATGAGGAGCATCAAGTTCTTGCTAACGGAATGGATTTGTACAGAAAACATTTCTCTTCACTTCAAATCCCAAACATCTAAAAAAAAAAAAGAGATAGAAAAGATTGGGACGTCTAAATATTTGCAATCCCTTATCTTGTTCAATTTGGGAGTTGGAGCATATGAATCATTTTTGCCAGTTAAGAATCAAATTTCTTCTTTAAAATATGAAAGAGGCCGAGGAGGCTTGCAATGCCAAATCATGTGCCGAGAGGCAAAATTCCATTAATTCAAGGAAAACTCTGATTCTGCTAAGTGCGTGCCCGACAACCTTCAACCACACACACAATGATTTAAAGTAATTACAAATATTTTTTATTCATGGGTTGCAAGTCTGCAATATTGATGAACAATTTGACATGGAGAAATGAAGATTATTAATGAAGGCTATCTCACGCTGAGCAATCTCATTGTAAGGGATCCGATTGGTGCTGCTAATACATGCATTCTTCTTAAGAAGATTTATTACTATGGGCAATAATGATGAAGCTTTGATATCATTATTAATTCAATAATTTAATTTGACAAAATTAAGAAGATCAGCCCTGAAGTCACAATGAAAAATCCATTCATATTAAATGCATACCTCGGCTCTGTCGAAATCCTGTGCTAAATCTCTGCAAATATCCTGTGAAAAAAAAATCTCCGACTGCTGCTGCTCTACGATCACTTTCCTCGGTTCAATGCACGGCTTCATCGTTAAAAGAATATTTTCTCCGACCTTGCCTCTCCCACTCACTTCCGTCTGTCTCCCTCTTGCCAACTCTAAGTCGTATATCAGGGGTTTTAACAACCCGGATAAGGTTGGTTTTTGCAAGTCTCTGATCACTGCTCGTGATCCCAAGTTTATCTGTCTTTTGGAAGCCAAAATTTCTTCAACCGCTGTTGACGATCCCTGGTTTCTTAATTCTCATCTGCTCTTTGAGAATGAAGGTAATTTCAATAATTTCAGTTTCTCTACCCCGGGTAGAATCTGGCTCAAATGGGATTCATCTGTTTTTTTCTTTTGAACATCTTCACTCCTCTTCTCAACTCATTCACGGTATAATCTCTGCGGGTTTTTTTCCTCCCATCTACCTCTCTGTTATTTGTGCTTCTAACTATTTTGAAGAAAGGAAAAGCCTCTGGAACCTCCTGGTTGACTCTGTTCCACCCCGTGACCAACCTTGGGTCATTCTTGGTGATTTCAACTGTTGTAGATCCAATTCTGAAAAAGCCAGTGGTTCTCTTCTTCCTAATAGCAGACTGGGTGAGCTTAATAATATGATCTTTAACTGTGGGGTTCATGATCTCTCCTCTACGGGCCTTTTCTACACTTGGTTCAACCAAAGGGTTGACAATCCTATACACATTAAGCTCGATAGAGTGTTGGTTAACTCTTCCTTACTGGACTACCTACCAACTGCTTATTACCAAGTTGTTCCCCCACTTGGTTCGGACCACTCTCCCTTAATCTTCAAAAGCTTACATGATAAACCTATATCTGCTAGGTTCATGTTCAAGAATTACTGGGTTAACATGGAAGGTTATTGGGATGATGTTCTGGAGGCTTTCTCTCTTAGGACTTCTAGGAGCCCGATAGCCTCGTTTTACCATAGCTTACATAGTCTTAAAGGGAAGCTTAAGAACAGGTCTTGGGCCTCTTCCTCTTATCTCTCGGCCTCCATTCTTGCTCTTAAGGATAAACAACATCAATGTCTTTTAAGGATTCAAGAGCATCCTTTAGATTTGGAGCTTAATCATAATTTGAAAAGCATTAATGATGAGCTTGCTTCTTTGCAAACTCTTTGGACCTCTTAGATTTATCAGAGAGCTAAAGCTTCTTGGCTCACTAATGGTGAGGATGATCTTGGTTTTCTCTTTGTTAAACTCAGAAATAGAAATAATAGAAACTGCATTAAGGATATCTCTACGAATGAGGGTCACTTCTCCAACTACAATATGATATCTCTAAGGCCATTATTAATCATTTCAAGGAGACCTACAACCCTCCATCCTCTCCTTTCGACATGCCTGTAGATATTCCACCTGGTCTGATGGTTCCCAATCATATGCTTAGCCCGTTGGTGGCCCCTATTTCTTTTGATGAGGTTAAGTCTGCGATTTTTGATGGAAAAGAAATTTTTGCTCCTGGCCTTGATGGTTTTTCCTATT